TTTAAACAAAAGAATATTAATCCAGCAGCCATTTATGAAAGTGGTTATGATTAAAGTTTTTTGTGATGGGTAACTGTCCAATAACAAGTGTGTGATTACATCCATCTGTCCAATTACACTGTCTGTTTACAACTCCTCAGAAAATTTAGCAAAAATGTGATAATTCTGTGCATAAAGTAGAAGTTAAAATAAAGCACCTCAGTATCTGAACGAAAGATCTCCCTGGCCTTTTCCAAGATTGCAAAAACATCCTCTTGATATCTGTCCAATCTGTGGTACTGCCCCTTTGATAAATCATATATTACATCAATATTAAAGCGTGAACCAATGAAGATGTCATCAACCACAGGGGTTAAAAAGAATTGTACAGCACATCAGTTAACCCTATTAGCTTGATAGATTTCTTCAACATGAAAACTTACTTGTTAAGTGTACATATCAAGTACCCCCTTTGAAAATAAATAATTGTAATACCTTTCTGAGGGCTTCTCCAATGCTGGACAGAGATAAACGTCTGCAATAGGATTGGGATAAGATTAATTAAATGTACAAGAATGAGACTAAACATTCCTCTGTCATTTGAGAGTTTTCTAGTAAATCCTACACACAATCCTGTGTAACACAAGCTTTACAAAGGGTAACACTAAATACCCCCCCCCCAAAAAAAAGCATTGTTTATGGTTTAATAGATACAGTCATATTTCCTTGTTAAGTTAGGCAAACAGCATGCTTGCATCAGTAATATCAAAACCAAACAATTTGACTTTTTCAAAATATACAAACAGTTTGATCATTGGCAACTGTTAACTTGCAGAAGGATCAAAAATCAATTTACTTGTCTTGTTGAAGTATAGAAAAGTCTGCCAGAGAATCGCTAAAACAGCGTCCTTCATCATCCTGCAAGCAATGTATGTAAAAGAAAACCATTAAAATTGTGAAAAACATTTTATAGATAAATAATATTTTACTATATAATTAACAGAAGTTAAGAGGCCTGTGGAGCATATAAATGTAGAATTGACAGCCAATCCTACTACTGACTTTAGTAATTGTTAAACAAAGATTAACAAGACAGTCTTACCACATGAGTCATTACAGCTTGATGCAAAGCATTCAAAAGTTTGCGAACAACATCTTGCATGTTGGGCACTTTACTCTCATCTCCTAGAAATACAATTACGGTAAATATTAGGAAACATCAAACAGTGCCAATTTCTACAACACAAAGCTTCTAGTAGATTCACTGAACCTTTAGGCAAGGGTCTTGTGTTAAAGTATACATGTACATACATGTCATAAAATGATTGTATAATCAGTCATATAGGAAATTAATTTCAAATTACAAGCTACATGTACCTATAAGTTTGCTTTTTCATGAGAGGAACAAAAGGACTGGGGAACAATTCCTCAATTTCTTGGTTCCATGCTCATGCAAAAAACAAGCTACCTAAAGTTTATTCATTTTTGCATGGTGTGTTTTTGCACTTTTTTAGACATTTTCATTAATGACATTCACTAGCCTTCATCATTGTACACATCCTGGACAAGTTTACCTTTACATGAAGTGTTAATGAATAAAATAATTAAAAGTACTAACCAAACAGAACATTTGTGATACACATTTGACAAAAACTACATGCTAATAACACACTTACCAACTAATTCCACTTTCTTTCTCAACAATTCCCTGGCAAGGCTCAAGGCATCCTTGTGAAGGACAACAAAAAATTAGACTGTGTTCCTCAAATTATTGTACAAAATGACATTCTAATTTCTTCATAATTATTTACTTTACACTGAGAAATTCAATTTCAATTTTGTCATTGTGCCTC